TCCAAGATGTATAGGAAATCAGTGTGCTTAGGAGAATTAGTAATAATAGGGAAACCTAGGTACCTACCAAAATGTTTGCTTATAGAAATATTAAGAGATTTGAAAATATTTTCCTGAAGGGATTGCGGGCAATTAGTGGAAAAGATGATTTTTGACTTTTTGTAATTGATTTTTTGTCCTGAAAGTTTACAAAAAAGGAGAGGGTATTAGCAATGGCTTCACAAGATTTATTATTGGCTTTGGCCATTAACGTAAGGTCGTCCGCGAAAAAGACATGAGATAGGTCTGGCCCTTTAGGAGTTAGCTTGATGGGGTCCCAAATTGCACAATCAACTTGGTGATTTATAAAACGTGAAAGCATCTCAATACAAAGAACAAAGATATAGGGTGAAAGGGGGTCACCTTGGCATATACCCCTAGTAGGCTTAAAGTAATTAGTTCGAGTGCCATTGACGAGTATGGCAATGCTACTAGTGGTAATACAATTCATTATGAGATTAGTCATATTTGGAGAAAATTTGAAGTAAACAAGAGTTCTATAAATTAAAGACCATTTAAAGTAATCGAAGGCTTTTTCTAAGTCTAACTTGATAATCATGTTAGGCTTAGAACCCTTAATTTTGTTGAACTTGTTGATGACTTCTTGGATGATGATACTATTATCACAAGCCCTTCTGTTTTTAATAAAACTAGATTGAAAAGGGCTAATGATTTTGGGAAGGAGGGATTTTATTCTATTAGCAACAATCTTAGTGACTACTTTGTAAATAGTATTGCAAAGGCCTATTGGTCGAAAATTTTGGAGAAGGTTAGCATTAGGCACTTTGGGAATTAGGCAAAGGTAGGTATAGTTAAGGTTCTCCGGAATTTTTTGCGTGTGAAAAATATTCTTAACATAAGTAATAACAGAATCACCAACCACTGACCAAAATTTTTGATAAAAAAAAAGGGTGTATACCATCCGGACCAGGAGCTTTCATTGGTTTAAACGAGAAAATGGCATTTGATATCTCTTGGTTAGTGACAGGAGTATCTAGAAAATCTAGGCTCAAATTATCAAAGCATTTAGGGGAATTGATAATATCAGTCCTATCTGAGGTGGAGAGAGAAGTGGTGAAGATGTTGCTAAAATACTCTAACGTGTGATTTTTAATATCGGAGGGGTCATCAATCCAGTTACCCTCATCATTTTTGAAGTGAGAAATTTTATTGGTTTTCCTACGGATAAGGGTGGAGATGTGAAAAAATTTCGTGTTAGCCTCACCATTATTAAGCGAGTTAATTCTGGATCTAAGTTTCCAAAAATCCTCTTCTAACCTAAGAACATCATTATACTCGTTTACAAGCTGATTTTCCAGGTTGAGGAGAAAAGAGCTATTAGGGTAATTAGTGGAATTTTGAATACCTTTAGTTCTAGCCAGCAGAGTTCTCTTCCTTTTAAAAATATTATCAAAAGTCTCCTTATTCCACTTAATGGCTTCATGCTTAAAAAAAGGGAGAGCCTCCTCAAAAGACCTATCGCTCCAACAGTCTTTAACAAGTTGAGGAAATTAGGGATGATAGCACCACATACTTTCTAGTCGGAAAGTCCTAGATTCTGGATAACTGAAATTAGGGTTAAACTTTATTAAGAGCGAATTATGGTCACTGTATGTCCTTGGCAAGTGATCTACTATAGCATTAGGGTATTGGTTAAACCAACCCTCATTTACAAAGCATCTATCGAGTCGCTCCATAATGAGCCCTTTATTCTTTTTCCTATAGTTCGTCCAAGCATATTTTGGACCCTTAAAGCCAAGGTCAAAAAGTTCACAACAATTAACCAGATTCCAAAGCTTGGTAGTTTTCTTAAAATTAATAGGACGACCTCCCTATTTTTCCTCAGAAGAAAAAATATCATTAAAGTCGCCTGTTACTAGCCAAGGGACTTTATAATTATTATAAATAGTGGTAAGGTTATGCCATATTTTCTTACATTTATAACTATCTGTACTAGCGTAAACAGTACTCAAAAGCCAAGGGTTTTGGTTAGGAAGTATCTTGATCATTGCATGCAGCTCCTGATCATCCCTAACCACTTCTTCTACTGTTATCATATTGTGCATCCATTTGATGGCAATCCCACCTGATCGACCATCTGATGGAATTTCCACCATCTCAGAAAAGTTGAAGTCATGCTGGATAGAAACATGATCCTGCATGCGAGTTTCTAAGAGAGCTACTAGGCAAGGTCTATGAGTATCGATGATATCTCTGAAATTCCTACGAAAATTAGCATTGTTGGCCCCTCTCACGTTCCAGACTATGAAGTTAATTGGGCGTGTCATTTGGAGAGTTTGTCTGTTGTGGCTCCCCTGATTCTCCTCCAAACGTAAAGGTGGGCCTTCCCTCAGAGAGGGATTGAGCACCACTGCGTATTTTCCTGCTGCAGGGTTTAGTGGGGGCCTGATGTCCATCGAGCATTTGAACAATGCTGCCGAGCAGCTGATGATAAACTTATTGTCTTGCCTCTCCTTGTAGAGTAATATTGCTATTTCTCTTAGGCTTTTGAACTCTATTCGAGATTCCCTTAAAGGTCTTGCTGCTGCCTCCCCTTGCTCTAGCAGTGAATTGCCCAGGTTTTGTGCGTTGAGAGGTGGTTGGACATCCATTGGAGCATGATTGTCTTGGTTCTGTGGTATCACAGGGTTTATCCCCTGTTGAGCCTGGTCCGCTGCTTGCCAAGCTAGGAAGATTGGGTTCATCTGATTTTGTGGAGGGAAGAATGGTAGATTTTGAAGAGGTTGGATCCCATATGCTGGGTTGAAGTGAATTGGAAGACCCAGTGGGCCTGCATGGCTTGGATTAATGCTGGAGGGGCATTTGGAGTTAATGGAATCAGGATGTTGGTTAACCAAGTTTGGTTGACATAGTTGTTCATCGCTAGTTGCATTCCCTCCATGATAAGCTGGGCTAAGAAGTTGGAGTTTTGGAGGATTATGACAACCTTTTGTCCCTCTATGTCCAGACTGAAAGATGCTGCATGGCCCAGAATCCCCCTTTCCAACCAAGATTAGGGTTGATGATTCATTGGGAGCGGGTATTGTAGAGTAGATGAGAGGAATGTTGTGGGGTGGGAGTGGAGGAATATTGTCCATTTGAGGGTGATTTGTGTGTGGTATTCTGAAGAGGTTCGTCCTGCGTTGAAGGAGGAGTGGTAGTCGAGGCATTATAAGGATGAGAGGAGTGTTGGAGATCTGAAGATTTGTGGGGCACTTGAGTAATAGAATCGTGGGAGATAGATATGGAAGATATGGTATCCACTTGCATGGAGTCTGATTGGGTTTGCGTAAGGTTTTTATCGTTTTGGAGAGAAGGAAGGTCGATTGCCATTTGTTGAGGAGTGGAGAGTTTGGATTGCATGGTATTTCTCACCAGAGGTTTGTCCTTAAAACCATGGGTGGTAGATGATTTGGAGGCATTAGGGGAAGCCAAGTGGCTGGGAGGGCAATTTTCTATATTATTTGTTGCCACGTGGCTCGAGCTGTCTTCCATGCAAACCGGATTTTGCATAGAGAATGTCGAAGAGCTGTTTTGTCTCTTTTGGCTTATTTCAATTTCGTTCTTGGAAAGGGATTGTGTCAGTTGGTTGTCATCCAACGTGTCTAAAAGGTCGAATTTATTAACAGTGTTTAATTTCGGATTTTTAGAGGATGAAAAAAGGTTTGTAGTAGTAGAAGGTTTTTCTTTGTATATGAAGTTTTGAGTGTTAGTAAACTTTCAAGTATTAGCATTGAAGGTTTTTGCCTTGATAATCACGCTTTCCTTATAATCAGATTTCTTAGTGGGGCCTTTGGGATGAGGGTTGCCTTTACTGGGATGATATCTTTGTTTGGAGAAGGAAACTACCTTCTATTGGTCCTCCTCGATAATGATTGGGAGTGGATCAGTGGATTTGGGAGAGATATTGTTGGTAGAGGAGGGAGTCATGCGGACATAGTTACACTTAGACTTAGTATGGCCTAATCTACCACAACCCCTGCAAAGAAAATTTTCTCCTTCATAAAGTATGGGTTGTTTGTGAGAACCTATAAGGATGAATGGAGGAACTGGGTAATCTAGAGGGAGCTCAAAGCATAACCTAGCGTATCTACCCCTTAAAGTAGCGGATGTACAAGCATCTATTTTTAAGAGCTTGCCAATTTTGTTGCCAATCCTTGCGAGAATGGTGCTATCATAGAACTCCGTAGGGAGCTGAGGTAGTCTTAACCAAACAGCTGAGATTTGTAATTTCTCCTTAGAAGCCACGAAACTTGGGACCCATTTCTTAACAGACAAGTAGTGGCCATTGATGAACCAAGGACCTTGGTGAAGTTTACTGGCCATATTGACTTCTTGAGAGAATTTATATCCAATATTGGCTGAAAGGTTAATATGTAAAATTCAATTTTTTTTTAAGGTTCGGTTGAATATAATCATGAACTCATAACGTTCAAATCTTGACTCCACCAAAAATATATAAATATTCCTCGACAAACTAATTTCTAATATATTGTTTCTTTTTGTAAAATTTTTACAAATACCAATTTCTAACAAACTTGTACAACATAACTACAATTATTTTTGTAATTTCTTGAGTTCAATCAAAAACCTGCTTCAGATCATTAAAGTCGAGAATTGCAGCTAATATAGACCAATTTGAGATGTCCATTTTAGCCCTTAACACTTCTAAAGCAGTGAGCGTAGAGGCAAGTCAAAAGCCGTTCACTCATACCATAGAAATTGATAAATACTTACCCGTATTTACACCAAACGAAGTAATTTTTAACCTTACCATTTAAAAATTACTTTAAGAATACACATCGCTTGACCTTGGTTAGAAAGATAAATCTATTCCATTTATTAGTTTGGTGTAAACGCCGAGTGTGATTATTTTAAGTGTTCACTGTTTAAGAAAGAGGGGGGGGGGGGGGGGGGGTTGAAGCGTTGCACCTAATCTTCCCTTACAGAAAACACTATGCTCGGAGCACAACAAAGAAAAATGCAATCGACAAAGCCTCAGCAGCATTTCAGTACATCTGATTATTGAACAATTAAAATAACAATATGCTAAAGGTTATGTTACTACTAGCCTAAGACAATTGGCATCAGATTTATTCAGATAATCAGTAGTTTCTGAGTCTTATGTGAAGTTAATCGCAGATTAAATTAAGAGAAAAAACATTTGCTCAGTTTACACCATATATCCACTTCTCATCATTGCTTGTATATTTAACCAACTCTTCTAGTTTGAACCATAGTTTGATCTCATCCTTGGCAGTCTCGGGGCCGTCGCTTCCATGGATGATATTCCTGTACAACAACTCGTGTTAACGGCAATATGCAACAGCACAAGAAGACCAAAAAAAGGGCAGCCTGATGCACGAAACATCCCGCGTTTATGAAGGGTCCGGGGAAGGGCCGCACTACAAGGAGGTGTGCTGTAGGTAGTCTACCCTGATGCAAACATCAATGGCTGATTCCACGGCTCGAACCCGTGACCAATAGGTCACACGGAGACAACTTTACCGTTGCTCCAAGGGTCAAGAAGACTAACTATAGAATTAAGGCAAGAAGTTTTTGTACCTTCCGACTACTACAGCTAAGTCACCTCTGATTGTTCCAGGTTCTGATTTCTGTGGATCTGTCGCTCCAATAAGCTTTCGTCCATATCTAATTACTCCCTCACCTTCCCACACCTAGAGATTCATTATGGAATTACTTAAAGTGAATCATTTTGTCCAACAAGTAAATTTAGACTTAGCTAAATGTCTCTAACCATTGCAACAACAGGGCCAGAGCTGAGAAAATCACATAGGCCGTTAAAGAATGGTCTCTCCTTAAGGTCATGATAGTGCTTTCCGGCAAAATCCTTAGATGGAACCACAATTTTGATCGCAACAAGCTTGAAACCTTTGCGCTCAAAGCGCGATATGATTTCTGAAATCTGCAACAGAACAAAACTTTCTAAGACGATTGGAAATAGACCTCACATCAGTATAGGATTCCAAGAACTTACTAATCCAATTCGACTCCATATAGAACATGAAAAGTGCAAAATACTGTTCCAACCACTTAATCGAGAATGAAGGAAAACACATAATACAGGAATTTATAAGAAAAAAGGAAGTAGCATTTTAACACTACTTAACATACCAAGCCCCTTTGTACTCCATCTGGCTTGATGGCTATGAAGGTACGCTCCATCTTGTACGAAAAATATTGCATCATGTTAGTAGTGAAAAAAAATGAAAATGACGACAAATGCAAGATGTAACATCTCAATCAAAGGGATAGTTAAGATAGTGTACCTCAGCAGCATGTGCTTCTTGCTCCTGGATCATGTAAGCTATATAATAAAGAGAGAAACAAAACAAATGAAATTAGACTAGAGGTTCCTATTTCTCTGGTAAGCTATTGCATACAGAAAATTCAAACTTTACCGAAGTTGCATTTTCAAAATGACACAAACTTGAACAGCAACATTAATTTAACATAGATACGTAATAAGATATGAACCTGCAGCAGGAAGGGCGAGGATTCCCGAAATCCAAGCTCTAGATGAATTTCCAGAGTCAGTCCTGCCATATGAAGCTAGAGAAGGCACAACTCCTCTCAAAGAAACTGTGGCTGCTGCAGCCGCTGTTCGTCCCCCTGAAAATAGGACAAGTCATATTCACACAATCAGGGGCGGAGCTAGAGTGCGGGTCCGGCCGAATCCAGAACCTTTTTTCAAACCATGTATTTGTCTTAAGAAATCCATTGAAATGTACAACTTATTAATTTAGAACCCGGTAACTTAGAAGGATTACAATTCCGATCATAAGGTTCAAATTCTGGCTCCGCCTCACCACACAATTACTTGTTTTTCTGCTTTGATAGGTAACTTATGGCTCAACAAATATAAAGGTAAAGACCACTAGTAATCAGAATCTGTCAGATCTATCTCCTTCATTGTTCCATATGACTTAAAATTCTCAAATATCCACTAATCCTCGTTTCCTTTCAAACATAAACACCAATCCACTGAAGGAAGTGGAACACCGGCGAGATAGACATGCCAAATTGGAAATAAATGAAATAAAAGACAGATATAAAGATGAGTATTAACGTAAAAGCTCAAAAACTTAAATATCATGATTGGAAAGCTCAATGCTTCCCCGCCCGCAGATCAAACTCATCATGATGCTAAAGGTAGCCATAGGAACATCTAGGATTTCAAATCAATACACAACTTCACACACACACACATATACGCACACGTGTATACGGATAGAGCTCGAATATCCACGAGGATTTGATATCGATATGTGCACCACACACACATTGACAAATTTTTAAAGCTTAAGTTCCGTGCACTGACATTTTAAAAGATAATTCACTCATGATGCAAGCATAACTGGCTGATTACTCGACTCAAACCCGTGACCTATAACTCATACGAAAATAACTTTACCGTTGCTACAAGGTTTCCCTCACAGACTCATAGTGCAAAAAAAAAATTACATGGACAGTGCATATTAGATACATCCAAATTTTTATATACATTTACAAAAACGACCTCTTTCATGAGTGAATAAATTGAAATTAAATAGAAATGGAGCAAAAATTTACCAGAAAAGGCACGAGAACTCTGCTTAGAATAAGCAGAGAACAGAGATTTAGTAGCTCGTGAAGCAGATCTGCAAATCTGAGAATTCATCTTCAAACAAAATTCAAATCTAAACGCTAAAATAAAAACAAATCTAATGCACTCTTTTGTGAAGAGTGAAATGTAGAGAAGGAAGAGAAGGAAAGAATGGAGTAGTGATCAGTGACTGAGTGAGCTTTTATTTTGAGGTAACTGATTTGGTATCGTTAATGCACACGTGGTCCACGCGCTAAAGGGGAGCGTGGGAGGAGAGAGTTTGGGCTTTGATTGGGTCAAATCTTAACCGAAGTTTGTTGGGCTTTGATTGAATGAATCAGATTCGTTGTTTTGTAGTTACGACTTCGTATCTTTGTTGCTTTCTCATTAGATCTGAAACACGTGCATTTGTTTTATTGGTTAATTAATCTATATTCTTACTTTCATTAAATTACTTAACCACGATAAGTTGATATCGTTTGGTGTACACGTCAAGTGCAGTGGCGGAGCTAGCTTTATTAGGTGCGGGTTCGGTCGAATCTAATCACTTTTGCTTAAATATTATATTTATATTAGAAAATTCATTAAATATATGTAAATATTTAATTGCGAATTCACTAAGTAAGACGAGCTGTAGGTTTTGTGACAAATTTAGAACCCATAAACTTCATATCATGGTTCCACCTCTAAGGGTAAGTATATATCATGTTTAAAAAGGATCCTTAAAAACCATTGTTTTTAATCAACTTTTGAATATCTCGATTATTTTTCTGAATATTTGTTTATTTTCAACCAACACGAGTAATGGATAATTCGAGTTGTGATAGGAAAATTTTTAAAATAACAATCCAGTTCTTAAAATCTGGATTTGTCTGGTCTAGAGATGATCTTGATTTGGCCTTTATTAATCTTGATTTGATACATTTGGAGGAGAAGGTAAATCACATTTTCACTACTAGAGTACAGTAAATTTTACTCTCTAACGATGTAATACATATTAAAATTACTTGGAAGTTACACGCAAACAAGTGTCTACATAAAATACGAGTTGGTAATCTGAAAAAGGAAGAAAATAACTTATTAAAATCAGTCAAATTATGGTTTTTTTTTTTCAAAAAAGAGGAGGTGTGAAATATTTATCTAGATTGAGTTAATCCCATAGCTGCAATTCTCTTGAAAAACAATGTACCTGAATGTTGGTTAAAATGTGATTGAAATATATATATATATAAAGTAATCAAAGAGTAACGACTAATCATTCTTATTCGTTGATTGTGTCCGACCGGATTCTTTATTCACTATACCTTTACCACTTGATATTCTATAAAGTCCCAGTTGGTATCATATTTTTATTCTACATAGTATCCCATATTAAATAATATTTAAAATTTCGCATAAACTATGAATTGATAATGCAGAATTGATACCAGAAATCAAACTGAGTTTTTTCCTTTTTCCCTAACTGCAAGAAGTCGATTCAATTTATTCCTCTCTATGTTAAGAGGGTATGAAAAGAACGGAATAAGTATAACTTAAGTCGACGTTATTAGCACCATAACCATTATTAAAGAATGCAGTGCGTAAACAGAGTATAGGCAGCCAACTAGAGAACAAGAACAAACGCAAACCAAACAAAAAAGTCATATAAAGCCTCTGAGTTCAGCTAAAAAATCCCAAATCAAACATAACATGAAATAGGAGGGAACAGCAAACCAAAATAAATCAGTCTATCAATGATGCCTCTGCGCCAATTAGTTAAAGTCGACTATATGAATCGCTTATATGTGCCGTTTAGGTTTTGTCATTCCAGTACTGAATAATAGTGTTCTAAGACAAATTATAGGTTCTCTAGACAAATTATAGGTTCTAATCTCACACTTACCCTTACGCGAACATACTACTTTCTAAGCAGAAGGATGAAAGGACTTCTGATAAACATTGAACCTAAAGTAAAAGGACAAATGAACCAAAAGCAGGAAAGGACAAATGACAGAACAAAACCAAATAACCAGAAAATGATCACAAGTAAATCACAGTACAATAGCACAAACTTGGTGTTTAGGTATCATATAAGCTGGAAAATAACACACCCCAAAATGCAGCACACGCCAGCATGGATAAGAGGAACCTAATCCTCCAAGAAAAAAGACCAATCAAAACTCACATCAACTGCCTCAAACAATGCAATATTATTTCACATGAAACATGATGTGATGAACAGACAAGTAAAAGCTATTTGCATGTGTACCTGATTTTCCAAAGAGCGTGAGTGCATCAACTACCATTCCAAGTTAAAGAAACCTTTCTGCCGGAGAAAGGCCTTAGGAACCATAGTTCCTTGGATGAAACAGGCTCAATAAATGGGGAAAAAGCATTTTCAAGAAAAATTTCATTTATTAGCTAATTGCAGCAGGCAGACAAATAATAAAAAGAGCGGCATTCCAAAAACTTATGGCAAAATAAATTGTCTCAATGTGTACTTTCAGGAGAATGATGTATCCGACTTAAATTTACTGACCCAAACTCAATTGACTCTGGCATCACTGCCTCAAACGCCTCAGAAGACACATAGGGCAATAGCAAAGGATCACATTTAACATCAACTATCTCCTTTTCCTTCTTAAAATCATCAGAAAAATTCCCTACGGAATCATTGCTCCTAATCAAATCTTTAGACATCTCAGTTGGAGACTCAGAAGATCCTTCCACCTCTTCAGCAGACAGGGGATTTCCCTCCTCGGCTACACCCAGAACTGTTTCCCCTTCCATCCCAACTCTTTCCGCCGTGGAAAGAGGAAATTCAGATTTCTCCTCTCCGTCAACGGTCATTGGCTCTGATGTCTCAGGACAGCTTGATTTTGAAGAACCTACAACCCCCAGATCACCATCTTCTTCTAGCATGTTCCCAGCCATGGCAGGCTCCGTAGTTTCACTGCATTCCGAACTGAAATTCTCGAACTTATGTCCTGGATAAGCCTCTCCGTCCTGACCAGGAAATGACCACTTCTTGCAATTCATGACTTTAACTTCTCTTCTCTCCTGGTAAAGGGACAGGGCTTTCTGCAATTGGACATCATGCAATAGACAAATTTAATGGTGCAACTTTATGCTTATAAGAGAAATTTGATTCATATTTACCTCAGCAAAAAAAGAGAAATAAATTTATTTATTCCGTTTCACAGCTAAGAAGAGCCGGACAACTTTGCCAATACACAACTAAGAAGACATGACTGAGATAGTATGTGAAAGATATAGTTGATCGAAATACTTCTTTTTCAAAGGACATGTGCATATGTACCATAGGAAAAAGTACCTGAAAAACAGAATCAGTCATAACAGCAAAAGGTGGACCACTTGAAAATTTACTTGGTATCGTTGTGGAGGCTGCTACATGCCCCTGCCACAGGAAAAAGAAAGCTTATTATGATTTCAAAAATGAGAACAATGAATAAGCAGAGAAATAATTTTGCCTCTCCTTACCTCCAAGAACAAAATTCTGGAATCATCAACATAAGATGTCATTTTCTTATCGACATCGATTAAACTTATGCATTGATCAAACAACTCAGGCTCTGTAAGCTCTGCAGATATATCAAGCTTCGAGAGGTAAACATGACAAAGAAGAGAATCATCTTTCTCCGATGGCTTCACCTCAATTGATTGCTCTTCAGGAGTAGTCTTCAAATTTTCAGATGTACTCTCTCCAAGAGCACCCCTGGACTGACAGATGTCATTGCTTTGATCATCTGCATCAGTCTGCTTTTGCTCACTCTGAACTGGTTGAGCTGACTCCTCTTCCTGAACTGAATAGTCCTCCTTCTGTGAACCAGATGGCAGCTCCACACTGCTTCCTGTTAGTGGCCCCTTCTTCCACGCATCACTTGTCTCCCAACTCATACCACTATTTGACAGTGGCCTAGGCTGGTCCCAGTCTGGTCTGCCATTAAGGTGAGCTTCTTCACCAGAAACAGCATTGTTAGCATTCCACCCATGCATTGGAGGACCGCATGAACCATCAACTGGAGTTCGCCAACCCATCGGTCGAACATGGCCAGGAAAATGGTCAGCATCTGGTATATGGTAAGTAATTCCAGGGTGACTCAAGTCCATTGAAGGTCCCACACCAAATACTGGTGGTGTAGGGAACTGCGGTATCATTGGATGAAAACCAACAGGAGGGGGACCATGTTGGAAAGGCATGAACCCATTTGCAACAGGCAACGGCCAGTTTGGAACCCTCTTCCAACCATGACCTTGCATTCTTCCAATATTAGGATCATTAATTCTTCTGTGGTGGTTGTTTGACTTCCCTCTACCATCATCCTCTGAAAAGCCAAAAATCAAAGGGCTGTCACCCCCTGACCTAAAGGGGGGAGGAACAGGCAACACAGACTTTGAATTGACAGAGAAGTGACTCCTTCTAGTATAAGGTGAAGAAACAGACACATTATCTCCGTCTATAAAGGACAAGTCATCACCTGCGAGTGCTTTCCCAGCCAAGTCACGGCTTCCTCTGCCTTCCTTTACATCCCGGGAGCCACCACTCCTCTGTGTTGATTCCTCAGCTTCAAGGGTCCTCCATACTTCTGATCTACTTGAGTGTCTCCTATCATAGCTTGCCGATGAAGGGGATTTATCCACCTGCTGTAAAGGAGAACTGCTAAGATCTGATTTGAAACGCCTTTCAGCTGAAGACTCTCCGAGAATATTGTCTTCCCTTTGCATCAGTTTCTCCGTTTTCCGAGAAGAAAAATTTTTCTCCACTGCTCCAGCAGAACCAGCATAATCTCTAGTGACGCCATGTCGAACCCTTTCTTCATAAGGATAATCCTTGTGCTTAGATCCATCTTGCTTTGAGAACCTGGTAGTTGAAAGAACGGCCGAAAATGTCAGAATTTTTGCACAAAAATGATAAAGCAAGGAAACACATAGTTATACACAAGAAATTAATGACCAGAGAATAAGCAATTTGGCAGAAAAGCAGAAAATGCTCATTAGACAATACTTAAGTGACTGGCTTATGATCAAAAGAGATTATCAAAGGAAGTTTGATTCTCCGATATAATACACAGCAGTGTGCCAATCAGACGGTCATTCGAGCTAGGGAACCATAAGCACAAAGAATCACCTGCCCGGAACTTCTAACTAAACGTGGCATAAAACTGCCAATAAGTTATTTACCTTTTCGGGGAAAA